GGGGGGGGGGGGGGGGGGGCGATATAACGCGGACGGCACCAATGGAAGGAAGGATAACGCCGCGTTTGTGTTTCGATCACGTCCATTTGAGATCGGCAGGTGTGGTAACAGCTTTTTTTTGTTCATGTGTCGAATCAAAACTCCATCTGAGAAGTGAAACACCCATGCACACGTGCTTGAGACCTAACTTCAACGACCACTGGCAGGACTTAAGACTCTCATTCAACCCGACAACACCAGTATCAAGCAAGGATATGGCCTCCGGGGAGAGTAAAGCACAAAAGGTTTTGTATTTGTTTCGTTTCTCGGAAGAGGCGTGCGCTCGCGCGAAGAAGTCAATGCGGCGCTGTTCTGTTTGGACCGCACCACCTCTTGCGACGCGGGCCTCTCGCCGAAACGAGGGCTGTAGCCCCCGTAGTCGCCCCCCGGTTCTGTGCATACCCAAGGTTTACACCAGGTGATGGGACGGGGTGTGGAATAAGAAGTGGTTTGTCTTGGCTACCCCTTGCTCCGACATGACGACTACGACGACTACCGTTTACGCCACCAGAGAAACACCCCCCGGTGATACTGTACTGCGGTAGCATTTTGGTTTCGAAACCAGTCTTCACCGGGTGTGTGTAATATCTCGTGTCGCCCCGTATTACTTGGATTCGAGTTTTTTTTATTATTTTGTGGGATTGTATTGACCGGTTAAAACATATACTGGAGTATGCCACTGGGTGTGATATTGTCTTCGGGGGGGGGGGGAGGGGAGGCGTACTCTTATGTTTTGCCTGCCTTAGAGGTTAGACCATTGACCTCGCATCCCTACAAAGCCGGGACGGAGCACGCCGGGTTCTCACCGGGCCAGGCCGGGGGGGGAGGGGGTTATCTTCTGTGGGTGTGATTTTCTTCGAGTCGTACTCCCGATAATTCGGTACCCGTCTCCAACCTCCCACCGAGCGGACTTTGATTGCTGTTGTTTGTCGTGGACAGAGGCATTTACGGCCCGGCGTTCCGGAGTGCGGTCACCAAGCCGGAGCTGGAGCTGGGCTTACGGGAGAACGATTACGTGTTCGGCGACCTCAAGGTGGGAGGGACTGGTGCATCTCACCCTCCTCGCCATGCGAGGACCACCAGAGTCACACAACGCGTGCGCGGATGGCCCAGTTTCCCAAGGGTTTTGCTCGGTAAATTTCTTGAATAATGCCGCACTTTACGGCCGGTACCGTTGATGTCGTCGCTGCTCTCGTTCGTCCATCTGCTTTGCATGCGCGCGCGCAACAGTTTGGCGGCAACGCGCAGGCCATCACCAAGGGGCGGTGGCTGCACCACACTTCCTTCCTGTGGGACTTTGACCCCACCAACATGTTGTACCTGCAGATGCCAGAAAAGCGGGTGAGGGTCGGGTAGGAGACTTTCACACACCTTAGCACGGCGCGTGTGGAATTTGTGGATGAAGTGTGAGTCGCCTTCTCTTTTTTTGCTGGGACGATCAAGTCTTGCAGGTGTGGCACCCTAGCAGGTGTGTTGCGCGACGAGCGAACGGCCATTTTTGTCCAAGGCGTCGTGCGTGTAGGTTCGCAGGCTTCGGTTTTGCCGCGTAGACTGCGGTGGCCCCGCAGCTCCTACTTCTCTCATCCACTAACGTCATCTCGTTCGGTGCATGACTATACATTGCCGCCCCGTCTTTTCTTCCCTATCCCCCTGCAAGGGGTGTGCGTGTTTGCGCTGTACTTGTTTCTTCTTCTTTGTTATTGCCACAGCCGTCGCACACATACCGAAGCAACATCGAAAGCACGGAAAGAGACGTAGCTACATTTCTTTTTTTATAATTCATTTTTTTGGTTTGTGCCGAGACGACAATTCTTGTACAGGAGTGGCCGCATCGTGCCAAGGGATGTGGTCGGTCTTATTCCGCGCACGGGCACCCGAACACTGTTCAGGATGTAAGACAAATTGAGTATTCCACCTGCTTTGCGCGCGATTTCACCGGCCTTAGTCAGGGCAACCGGAGTTGTTCTTGCCAACCCACCCACAGACCACCACTGCCGTATTGTATGCATCAAAACAAATAACGCAAGAAGAAACAGCAAGGGCGAACGGGCCCTGTTCAAATGTGGCTTCGTATTTTCCTCTGCCGAACTGCGGCCACCACGTTTCCAAGCGTATTATCTTCTGCTTCAGCCCCACACATCTATTCTTGAAAATGTTACACATCTATTCTTGAAAATGTTACCGTTCATTTTTTATTCTTCGTTCTTTCAATGGTTCGCCCGAATTACGGCCACGTTCCCGAGTGATTTATCGTCTGTTTCAGTCCTAGACTACACATCCCTGCAAAACAACGCCGTTTTTCTTTTGTTCAATGCTTCGGCCGCATCGCAGCCACAGTATCGTGGAGATCGCGACCACAAGGCGTTCTTGACACCTCTCAAGGACCACGTCGGGCGGCGGGAAGACTTGTGGGCGGCAGTGAAGGTGCGCCACGGCGACCGGTGAATTAGCCGCGTGATTTTTGTTGAGGCGTCTTGTTGACACGTTATTTTTTGGAAGCCTCTTGATGATATCGCTCCTTCCCTCCCCTTTCATGTGGAAGTTTGTATAAGCCTCTTTGGTTGTATTCCTCCTCCGTTCCCTCTCATGGAAGTTTGTATCAGCCTCTTCATGATATCGCTCCTCCCTTCCCTCTCATGTGGAAGATTGTACAAGCTTCTTGATGATATCGCTCCTCTCCTCTGGAAGTTTGTTGGCCCCTGGAGTTGTGTGACTTGTTTCACTTCGGGTTCGGATTGAAATGTGCTACACAAACACACTCGCCCGTGCTCTTCGAAGCAACGGATTTCCGTGGTCACACGGTGTTCCGCTACCCTCCTAAGTTTCCTGTGGTTTGGTTGCTGTTCCAGTCTTCCTGTGACCAGTTTTTACCCCGGTACATTGCTACATACGGGAAAGGGGTGCTCGTTGTGTCCGGCAAGTTGCGGGTTGAGGGCAAGGACTTTCTTCTTTTCCTTCCTTCCCTCTGTTTCTGTTTTCTTCCTTCGACGTTACAGTAAACAAACAATATACAAGTGTTGACTCTTATTTTCTCGTTGAGTTGTTTGCCTTTGGTTGCGTCTTTTTTTGTCAACTTCTCCGCTTTTGAGGAACTAACTCGCCCGCAAGGTACGACCTCCCAATCCCTTCACAGGTCACTCCAATAAATATCACTACACGTGTCTTTTTATTGGCCCTGTTTCTTCGGTTTTAGTTTTGCCATTTGTCTCTGTCCGCTACCCGTTGCGCTAGCCTGTACCAACCCCGTCCGTCCTCCCCCTCTACCTTGTTCCCGAGCTTAGGTGGCCGCGGGGGAACACTTCGTACTCGAGGAGGTGTCAATTTCGGACGTTCTCCGAGACAACCATAGCAGCAGCAGCGGTAGCAGCGGCGGCAACAGCGGTAGCGCTTGGATGGAGGCCTGCCGCACCAAGTTTGTGGGGTTGGATGGGAAGGCAGTGCCGCCACCCCCCGGCGGTCACGACGACACGACGCTCGCATGACAGCAACAGCAGTGGTCGCCGGCATGCGACGGTTGCTTGGCAGCAACAGCAGTGTCGCCGGCACGGCTATTCGGGTTAATGTTGATTGTCGCAGATGTCCGTTGAGAGTCGTGTGGAGCGACTTGGTTCACCAGTCCGTCTACCTATACCGTCATGTGGTATAGACACACGACAGGTTTCATAAGTCCGTCTTGATGCCATCGCATCATTGACGAACGGGTTTGTTCACAACTCCGGCGTCTCTTCGTACCATCACACACGTCGTAGACGCGCAAATGACGGTATAAGGCTTTGTTCTGGTGGATTTCGTATGGCCCTACCCCCCCCGCGGCTCGATGTGGCGTGCGCTTCCATCCAACACTCCACAACAACAAATAAGGCGTGGGATAGCCTGTAGTGATGCGATTGGAGGGGTGGGGGGACGAGACGGTCGGGGCATCTTACATTCCCTACTACTGCATAATGTCGGAGGGGGGGGGGGGATTGAAGTTGGTCTGTTCGCCAACGTCAGGTCAAATTTGTACAAGACACAAGTGCTTCTGTGTCAGCGTGGGTGCTTGCTCGGTTCGGCTGTAGCCTAGTACATCATCACACCGTTGGCAGAAAGACTCAGAAAAGAGACTACCGTAAGAGTCGGAGAGATGGCCCCGGGTGCGATCGATTTTTGTCATCAATTTCTTCGTGTTTTTTGTCGCACCCCGGTGCGATCTCTCCGAACGGTGCCATCGCTCCGACCCTGGCGCATCTCTCCGACCCCGGTGCGGAAGTGCGAATAAAGTATCTCTTCTGGCTTTTTTTTATTTTTCTTAATATGACACCACGAAACCATCTCTATCATAGAAAAGAGTCTGAGATAGATTAGCAATGGATTCATAGCGTCAGAAAAGTACCTGTATGTCTACGATTTCCCAGACAGCATATAGGGACATCTCCCCTGCGGGTAACAGGCTCAACAAGACAGTGTGGTGGCTGTCTTGTGTGTCTCATATATGTTATGTTGGGAAGGTGCAGATGATATGTGTTAGGTACTGGTCGGGCGTTTGTTTTTGAAGGCACCCCGGTGCGATCTCTCCCACCGGTGCCATGCCCAATGAAATTAATACACGCAGCGGCCTGCCCGATATTGTTTGCACGCAGACTGATGCTGTCTCTTTGCCTCTGAGTATTGGTACGAGTGTAGGCATTCAAGAGCAGACGTGTGCGGCGTACCGTATGTATGTACTACAGAGCGTAGGCTGGTACGTGAAACAGCTTTCCATGCAGCGAGCTGTGATGGGTGTGAACGCGAGTTTGGCTATTGGGTGACAAGGACAACAAACGATGTGGTTTTTCTGGAGTAACGGTATGTACATAAGGTACTAGGTTGTCTCCGGCTTTCGGTTCGGTCTTCCTCTCCGAATACCAGTACGCAAGCAGCAACACATACTTTTCTCGAGTAGGTGGGGGTAGGTCATGGCTTGTACGTTGTGTTCTTGCCCGGTGTCATCTCTCCGACTCATGGTCAACATTAACACCCATAGTCTAACAGGCTCGTCGAGATGTACCTATGATTTGTGCGTGCGCACACGTTTTCGCCCTAGTTTCACCGGCCAGGAATTCCATCGCGATATATCAGCATCAACCCCCCGGAGGCAGTGATTGAAGTACGGGTCCCCGTGGCAGTCTTTTTTACCAGAGGAGTTGTTTGTTCTGGTGGCTCACACCTTGCCCTTGATGGTCACAACAAATACGGTACTCAACATGACCGAAGTCCGGTCAACCGTTTCACTCCTCCTACTGTACATACAGTACAAAGTGCGAAGTACAGCAATCGCTCGTTACAGGTCCGCCCGTTGGAAGCCACCAGCAAGGAGAAATTACCGTACCGGGGCGGAGAGACGGCACCCACCCTACAGGAGGCCGACTTTCCAAGCTCGATTGCTCCACAACCAAGGGGGTGCGAAGAGAGCCCGATACGCGAGCCCTCGACGAGATGTTCCAAAACCGTCTTTGTGTCGTGCTTGGGCGGGGAGCAAGCTTTTTTTAACATTCTGTAGGGGGGAGGGCGTCATCGCTCCGCCTTTTACGGTTTGCATGCAACCTCTCTAAAACAGGCTCGGTTGTAAGTCCAGCATCTGGCAGGTACAAGCAGTGTTCCTTCAGGTGCTGGACTTCAACCCTTAGTAGTCTACTTCAACACTACTTGTCCGGTTTGAAAGAATTTTCGGTTTCCCTCCACTCACTGAAAAGACTCCACCACATCCCGTTCGACTGCTGTGGGTAATGTGAAGACAACAACAGTAGTATCTCGAATGGGTAGTCTTTCTGTGTGTGTTTTTTTTATTATTCCTTAATTATCGATGAGCGAACAGATACCGGGGGCTGCGGCACAGCAGCCGTCCGGCATGTCTCACTTTCGAAAAACTGATCTCGCCGCACTCAAGGCATCCCATGGGGCGTCCCCACCGACCGAACTCCGACAATCGCACTCAGCCCGTCGAACGCGGGCATGATTTGTGTGGCGAGCGTGTCAAGTGTTCTATGTTCACATCATTGCTGCTGCACCACGCGTCGTTCTCGCTAACGTACAGCAGCAGCAGTCGGGAAAATATAGATCTTCTAGAAAATGGTGTGGATACCGAGGAGGAGGCGAGGAAATGAGGCGGAAAATGCGTCTGTTGTGGAATGTCGATTGGGAACGGCGATTGGAGATCGCGCTTCTTTTTGTGGTCGATTCGGGATGTTGAAAGATGCGAAATCCGTCGTGCCCTTGTTGATATATGATAAAACTGCAGGCTTGAGGTGCGTTCGGCGCGCCCGCCAGAAGGTGGGGAATACGCGGCGTGGCATGTGCGCCCGCCAAGAAGAAGAGACCACCTCGTTCCTCTTTCACACACCCTATCATACGCAGACTAACATCATGCAGGAGAACTCTGACAAGCGTCCCTTGGCCAACAAACCAGAACAAATTCCTCACACGCCTCCAAAAAATAATTCGAAAACACTAGCTGGAAGGCAGAGTTCTGAAAGCGGATGAGCCGCCAACATACGCGTTGGCCCCACATACACGCGCGGGATGTCGGCATGTGCGGGTCGGGCCTTCAATCTGGTGGGGGCCATCGAGGCAGCAGCTTACTCCTTCTTCTCCTCAGGCGCAGCAGCAGCGGACGAGGGCCCACGCGCGGCGGCAACAACACTCTCTTGAAGGTGAGAGCTCGCCTCTGTGCCGCCGTGCTCACAGCAGCACCAGCAGCATCGACATGGATCCACATCTACATATATTTGTATATCTGCTGTCGTGTGATTTTCCAGACTCTTCTTGGTGGATGGTTGCATCACACAAAGAGGGCAGGGCCGCTTGTTGATTGTTGCCGCGCCAGCAACCCCGCGGAATTTCGCTCCAGCGGCATCAAGCGTATAGACTATGCTCGTTTGGTTTCAAACTTGTCTCACATGGCAGCATCAGCGCACTGGTATTTCGGTCGGTTGATCCTTCCCCCTCGTGGGTGATCTCGCGAGCGGGACAATCCCGAGAGCAAATCATTTGGCACAAGATGTACGGTTCCGACTTGGGGCATCATCATCTGTATCTAGACCATCATGCTGCTGCTTTGTCGCCTCAAAACGGGCTCAAGAAACGAACGCAGCAATCTACGATGTGTTGCGCATGCTCTCCGCATACACGTAAGCGATTGCCGATGGTATGGACACCGTATTTGACTCGACAAGTTCGCCGTGCAGCCAATTATGTAGTTGAGGACGTCGGCCGTTGGTCCGTTACGGCTCTGTGTAAAAGATCCTTGGTCTCCTTTCTCTACATGACCCATTCCGCAGCAGGCGACAGGGAAAAGGCTGCAGCTATCCGTCAAGGGAGCAACCGTGGATGTACCACATGGCAACGCCACGGACCCTCGGGCTATCGCCGCAGCAGCAGGGAGACCTTCGCGATGACCAGACCCAGCAGCCTCCGTCGCAACCGCCGCATCTACGGCGGCAGTCGTCAGCGGTGAAGCGGACCGCGGTGGAGGCAAATCTAGCGGGAAATTGCGTTGGTGAGCCGCATTTATTTTCGTGGAAGAGACTGACTCGTCACGATTCCATGGGTACTTCGCGCATGCAAACGTTGTTGACACGCCACCAGCCCTCCGCTCACGGACAGCAAGAGACGAAGGACGTTGGTGTATTGTGAAAACTGATAAATGTCGGAGAAGAGTGCGCTCAACGCTCGGTAGACGCTGGGCGTCAAACCGAGATGCCCGACAAGGTTTTCTTCGTTGTGCGTGTCGAGAAACGCGACGGGCAAATTGGGCAAATAAAAGCATACTAAAGTATAATAATAGATGTGCGGTAGGGTCGTATTGTAAAGATCGATTTTTCTCGACAACCAAAGGGTGCGAAACCTGAATGACACGTGCGAGGAAAGTTTTTGACAGGGACCATTCCATGTCTCTTTGGGGAGTAGTCGAGCTTTTAGCATCGATTGGATCGCACACCCACCCACAACGTGTACGTTATGCCCGCACTTGGACGTACATGGGCGCGCATGCATGCGCAAGCGCGTTTTTTCGCCTTTTTTGTATGCTTTGCCCGTGAGGTACTCGTACGGCAGGCAGTGTAGCAACACACCGCCATCGCGCGAGCGTGTTGTTTTAGTTAGTGTAGTCCTAACATCTGGAAGGCGCGAGCACACGTAGTGCCAAACCGCGTAGTAGGGATTTTTTGAACGTTGGTTAGTCTACAATTAATTAGGCCGTCATTAATCGCCAAAAATGCACCCGACCGTCGACGCACGCAATGCATCCACCACCTGGCCCGTCTGACACACATCGCAACTTGGAGCACAACATTTCCGAGCTCAGCGCATACCAACCAAAACTTAAAATGTAGGATCCAGTCACGGGCGTAAGTCAGCGAGTGGAAGAATCTTCGTGCGATGCTTCGAGCGCGAGCTACGGGCAGCACATACCACCTTGCTTGCGCGGAAGAAGCATACGGATTCGTAGGATATGCACCCGGGTCGGTCCCTTGTTGCGGGCTCTTTCCCGCATGCACACCCTTTGGTTGCACGCCCTTCGGTGCCACCCGAGCACCCTCCGTCAGGTGGACTTCCAGATGTACATAGTCTAGCCCGTTTCTCGATGACGATGGCGGGACACCGTGACGGCCTCCGTTTCCAACGAGTTGTCCAGCCGCTGCAGATGCAGCCCCCCCGCCAACTTCAACCTACGAGTATCACAACAAGTATTTACTTGCAGCAAGGCTTGACGGTGATGTTTGTCCTCGGCTTTTGCCCGCCTATCCGGACGATCTAGACAACACCGGAGGAAACATGATTTTCCGACGGCAAGCGCTCTGTACCAAAATTCTTGGCAATCGTTTCTGGAGGGGGGTGTTGGGACGAAGCAACAGAGGTTGACGTGCGGACGTCAATACATCTGCGGGCAAAATCCTGCCTCGGGTGTCGGGGTGTGTGAGAAATCGGCAAGTTTACGCCACAAGCATAGTGTCCCTCGGGCCGTTTTTAGCTTTTGATAAACCCGCAGCCGGATCTCACAGCGCGACCCGGCCAGGGCCTTGCCTCCTAACCTCCTCACGTACGGACGATAGGGTACTTCCAAACGTCATCCACAATGTCTGCCTCACGCGCTTGGCATCCCTCGCCCCCCAAGTGTTTTTTTGTGAGGTGCCCTACCGTTGTTCCCTCGACTTCTCAGTTCGGCAGCATGCGCTTTCTCTTAACACGCGACCACACACCCCGCCGCCGTTCTCCCTCTCCCGCGTGAATCTACCCGATCCTTTTCAAAAGAAGCAGGCCAGCGCGCGGGAGCACGGACCCTAGCTGTGGCGGTTACACCTGCGACCGGTGCCGCCGTAAGAACCACCACCAGCGCGCTCGTCTTCTCCGCTCTTCGCGTGGTGCTGGAGGATCGTGTCGGGGGTCGTGGGTGGCTGGGGTCGGTTCGAGAGCTGCAGAGTGTGTGCTTCGATGTCTGCAAGGAGTGCCGCAAGGTCGTGCCTGTCCGTCTCCGTGTGTCGGACTCGACACCAGGCCACCTCTGGAAGAAGGGAACAACGGCAGAGAGGGCAATGGCAGAAACAACGGCGGTGGCGGCGGCTGAGCTAGAACCTGGCGGCAGCAGCGGTAGCGGTGGCGGCGGCGGTGGCGGCGGTGGTGGTGGTGGTGTTGGCAGCGGTGGAATTGAAAGCTATGGTAGCGGTAGCAGCGGCAGTGACTGCTATGGTAGCGATAGCAGCGGTGACGGTGGGTGCTTCGATTTCGACCTCGACGGCGCCCCCGGCAGCGAAGTTGACAGCGAGGACGCCGCCGCTAGCGATGTGGACGGTAGCGAATGCAGCTGGAGTCTCCCCTCCTTGTGGGAAAGGGAGGCAGCGATAGAGGCCAGGAGAGAATCGATCCCTTCCCCGTATGCTCCACCGGGCAGAGATGTCCCCCCTCTCAGGATCACGGGCATTGTGTGGGAGCGCAGCACGCTGGGGAAGGTTTCCTTTGGCTGTCCCGAGCTGCCGGAGGCGGCCTTCGGGGCCGCGGTGATCGAGCCCTTGCACGGGGCGGCCTGCACGTCCACGCTGAAGCGAATCACCCTCAGCTCGAAGAACTCTAACCTTCCCCCGACGACGGCGATGCTTGATGCGAAAGGTGGCGAAATAAACTGGCCACCTTCTCTGGAGGAGCTGACCTTCGGCGAGCATTTCAACACCCCCATCAACCAGGTCGCTTGGCCGGACTCACTCCAGCAGCTCTCGTTCGGGAGGTCCTTCAACCAACCCATCGCCGGAGTGTCGTGGCCGCCTTCGCTCCAGCAGCTCAAGTTCGGGCTCGCCTTCGACCAATCGATCGATGGGGTCGGGTGGCCCCCCCGCCTCAGGCGACTCACCTTCGGCGCCCGGTTCAACCGCCACCTGGTCAGCCTGCCGTCCACGCTAGAGCAGCTCACGTTCGGGTTCTTCTTCGACAACCGCTCGGTGTCGGGCGCCGTCTGGCCCTCCACGCTGAGGGTCCTGACGTTCGGCCACGACTTCGACACCGACATCATCGGCGTGGCGTTTCCGGCGTCGCTGCAGCGCCTCACGTTCGGCTTCTGCTTCAACCGCCCCGTCAGCCGCGACGGCGTGGGGGTAGCGTTCCCGGCGTCCCTGCAACAGCTGTCGTTCGGGGCCTGCTTCAACCAGCCGGTGAACGACGTCGTGTGGCCGGCGCCCCTGCGGCGGCTGGCGTTTGGCTTCGCCTTCAGGCAGAGCGTGGATGGGTGGGCTTGGCCGGCGGGCCTCACCCACCTTTCGGTCAGTCGTTGGTGCTCGCTCTCCAGGATCGACGTGCCGACTGGGGTGCAGCTCGAGCTCACCTGACAGCCGGAGGGACACCGGTGTCTCTTATGAATTCGTTATGTCGTCCGTATCGCATGTCGTATGCCTTGTGTCGTATCGTGTGATGTGAAGTTCTCTTTCATCTGGTATGCATTCATACCTGGTATGTTGTCTTGTGCCAAGATGAGGGAGAAAGACCTACGCAAGGATTCTGTCGTGAATGTCTAGTAGAGGGGGATTTCGTACTTGTTTCGGTGGAAATAGTATTGTTGTGGTTGTTGGTAGATCACCCTGCCTGTTGTTTTTGATATATATTCACGTGGTGACTTTGAGGTGTTTCCTTTCCTTTCAACGTCTTGAAGGGCGGAGTGGAAGAGTCACGTCTGAAGAGGCCGGGGGGAATAGACGTCCTAGTATTTGAAACGATGCCACGGTTATCGTGGCGACATATACTAAATCGTAAGGTTTTCGAGTGTGCAACCGTGCCGAAGAGACAATACAGTATCTCCAGCTTTAAAGACCACACACATAAAAGGTGGTAGATTGTGCTTGGTGTGTTGCGGAGAGTTCCATGTTTATGTTGCTCCACACGGAGCTTTTCTCGAGCTTCTTTCGAAAGCCGGGGCGGGCGGGGGAGGCAGGGGTTCTTGCTTAAGAATATGTCGTAGGTCGGCAGGGCTCGTGTATTGCGCTCGACGTAGCGGGTAGTCGTTACCGGGAATCGCTCCGAAATGCGTCATTGAGCGCCACATGGATTGGAACAATATGTAGACTAAGAGCGGATCATGTTGCTTATACTTGGAAGTGAATTTTAGAATGGATATAAGCTTGGAGCTGAACCCGTGGAATCAAAGGTGGGCGAAAATGTAGCCATGAGAAGGGTTCTGGAAATAAGTCGGGATGTCTCAGAGGTTGTAGATATCTCGGGGCAGTCAGAGTTGTTTCTGGAACATGGGAATGCTGGGGCTCTTCCCTTGTAGGCCAGTAGAGGGTTGTAGCTCAAGTGCAGGAGCGAACTTGAGAAATTGAAAGAGAGGAGATGTTGAGGTGCTGTAGGTAGGCTTGGCTTTGTTGGAGCTGAACGAGGAAGGTGTTGAGATGTTGAGCAGGCTGTGCTCTGTTGAAGTTGAACAGGGAAGATGTTAAGGTAGGTGGTGAATAGGCTTTGTCTTCGTCCTGGGTTCACAAGTATGTGCCTGGGTGTATTGCGCGGCTTTTGGTGGGAAAATACCGGATAAGTGCGATGAAGAATGACACGACGAAGCGGTCGAGCAAGCTGCGCGACTGGCGGGCATGCTTAGCGCGACGGACAAAATATGAAGTGATCAACGAAAAAAGCTGTGCGCTTGTGTTGGTATCCTTTCACTGGCATCGACCCCGCCAACTGACTCGATGAACAGGGATCAGTGTTCTAGCGGGACAGTAAAATTGAACACACTTGTCTGTTCAGCGGGCCTCCCCGACAGGGATATGTATGTGTCTACACTACTGTGGTGTCTCAGCGTATTGTTGCTGGCTCTATACATACCATCATCCTACTCGTGTTCACTGCCCTCTTCGATGATATGTCTACCATCTTCGGCGGTTCTCTGCCCTTTCGGCCCTTTCGGCGGCTGTCGTGTGGAACATCCAAAGCTCTTAATTACACACTATCTCCTCCTGCTTCGTACGTTTTTCCATTCCCCCCTCGTCTTCCAGTTGTTCCTCTTCCTACCACGCCCAACCATGCGATTATCGCTGAGCGTGTTGCGCTTTCACTCTTCGTTTTTAACCAAAGAAGTGAAAGTCCCCAAACGATTTTGCCCACAACAAGCGAGGACGGGCCGGGGAAGGCCAGGGAACGTCACCATGTCTTAAAAAGCGAGCGGGGTCCGCTGTTTTCACTCGCACCTCGAAGAGTTGAAGACACGAAAATGCGAATTTATTAAAAAATGGTAGGATGAGATTATATCCACGCATCCTTATGAAGATTGGCGGCGGCTGTCCATCGCCCGATCTCGTGTTTCGAAAAGCTGGACGACCCCACTCTACACCCTGTACGTGAAGTAAGTGCTCGTGACAATACCTCGGCCTGTATCATGGGCGTAACCGAATGAATCATGTATGCCTTGTTGGTCCGAACACACACGCCGGGGAAAAGGAGAATCCCCTGGCAATCCTTGTGACTCTGCGCCATCGGGCATCAAGAGTACGGAGGGGGGGGGGGGGGG